AGGGGAGGCACAGGCAGGTCTCCCCAGAGTCCCCGACAGACCCCTTCCCTGCTTTCCTTCCCCCTTCATACTTCGACATTTGTCGTTTGTTCCTGCTGTCTCCCCCTAGGGTCAGGCCTGGTCTGTCTGTCTCACTCCCTACACAGACCCTAGTGCCTGGCGCTCAGTGGGCCCCCAAATGTTTAGGGAATGAATGATAGTGAAACATAACACTCAGCTCTTTCTGCGTGCCAAGCATTCTGCTAATCATCAAATTATTAACGATCGTGACCACCCCATCTTGCGGATGGGCAGGACGCAAAGTGGATTTTAAAGATTTTTTTTTTTTGGATGTGGACCATTTTTAAAGTCTTTATTCAATTTGTTACAACATTGCTTCTATGTTTGTTGTTTTTTTTTTCCGGCTGCCAGGCATGTGGGATCTTAGCTCCCTCACCAGGGATTGAAACCGCACCCCCTGCATTGGAAGGCAAAGTCTTAGTCACTGGGCAGCCGGGGAAGTCCCTAAAGTGGGATTATTATTATTATTATTTTTTTTTTTTTTTAAATCCCGACAGCTGAGCCCTGCCCGGCCCACTCACCAGTGATGACCATGGGGTCGATGTCAAAGGTGTCATTGGCTGGGTCCACGTGGCCCCGGTGGTAGTAGCACTGGCAGAGGGCCAGGGCCGAGCCATTGGCCCAGGGCCCGCCCCCGCCCCGCACGTAAGCATACCGACCCAGGGACACGTCGGGGAGCATCAGGTACTGCGGGCAAAGGAGGGGAGGGTCAGTGAGCCCCGCCCGTTCTCCCGGGTGGGCCCACCTGCCCACCTGCTCCTGGTCGCCCACACCTGGTCCACGGCGTGGAAGATGGCCTGGTACAGCTGCTCCCGGGTGTAGGCCGCAAACGTGTCATCCGCCCCGTCCGAGTAGCCCAGCAGGAAGAGGTGCCGGAAGGCGATGGTGTTCTCCTCCCGGAATGTCACCACCAGCTGGTTGCTGAGCCCAAACAGGATGAGCTGGCGGGAGGGATGGGGAGGATTGGTACTACCGGCATGGGGTCTCCCACGGCGCATGAGCGGAGGCAGAGTAAAGAGAAGGCCCACCCCATGAGGGCATGACCACCCTACGTCCCCAAGGCGCAGCGCAGAGTGGCCACTCATAGAACTCGTGGCAACAACTAATGTTCATGAAATGTTTACCGGATGAATGTTCGAGGGTAAGCACAGCATCACACTGCCAGGGTCCGAGTGCCACCTTCCAAGGCTCAGCTGCTATGTGACTTTGGACAAGTCCCTTAACCTCTCTGAGCCTCAGCTGTCCTATCTACAGAAAGGGGCAAGAGCAGTGGCTAGGACCTCAGAGGGCATTTATGAAGCTTAAAGCCGCTGCTCCCGTGCAGATCCGAGAGGGCTTCCTGACGGATTAGTGCCACTGTCACTATCATGATATGGGGCTGTGGGGTCAGGACTAAGCTCTGACTCCAAGATTCTCCTTCGAGGAAAACAGCAACCACAGGTGGCATTCTGTGGGGTGGGGTGGGGGCCCTGAAGGTCTCACCTGCACTGTGACCACCAGGATCTTCACCACCTGCAGCATGAGCTTAAAGGGCTTGCGGCCCTTGGCCCGAAATTTATCACAGGGGCTCATGAAGAAGTACTTGAGACGACGGCGGAGATCCTCCTCTTCTGGAGGGGTGGAAGGGGCTGGGGAAGGCGCCACCTGGGTCCCATACCCAGGTTTGGGTGTCAGGAGGCGCTCAGTCTCTGTGGGATGGGAGAGGGCAGTGGGGACCAGGCCTAGGCAGGTTCACCTGCCAATAGGGGAGGCAGGTCCCAAGCTCCAGCCAAGAAAGAACTCTGAGAGATCTAAGGAAAACCAGAAAATCCGTAACATTTTAGGGATCTATGCAGCAGTGCTGGCTCAGCGGTTTCAAGTCACTCCAAAGGGCCTGAGTTGATTCCTGCCCCTGCTCCAGGGCACTCAGCTTCCCTGAGCCTCAGCTACCTCATCTGCAAAATGGGGCAATAAAGTCTCTCACCAAGAAGCTAAGGATTTGACACTTACAAAGCATTCGGTCTCTGAGTCTCAATAATTCCTCAATGAATAGAACCTGTTCTATTTTTTTGGTTTGTTTTTGGGTTTTTTTGGCTGTGCCGTGTGGCATGTGGGATCTTAGTCCCCCGACCAGGGACTGAACCGAGCCACAACAGTGAAAGCGCTGAGTCCTAACCACTGGGCCCCCAGGGAACTCCGAATAGAGGCTACTCTAAGGACCACTTATTCCTTTCAATCCTGACCAGTCCAAGATGAAAGCCCAAGTTTTCAGCAATGGCTCGGGTCATAGCTGATCACAGCAGCCCTGAACTGTTCCTGACACAACCCACCATCCCCACTGGGAGAACCCCGCTTCCTTCCAGGGTCTGGCTGGCCTCCTGCCTGGCATGGCCACCAGGATGAAATGTAGGCACTGTCAGAACCTGTCCGGCAGCGAGGGCCAGCCCCTGGTCCCTTTGGAGCTCAGATGCTATCGTGGTGGTTTACAAGATAGCTGGATGGGAAGCCAGAAGGGAGGCTGCCTCCCTGGCTGGGATCACAGCTAATTCATCCCAGACTCTACCAGCCAGGACATCTTTCAGGTGTCTGCAGCTAGCTTAAGAAGGGAAGATCAACACAAAGGGCATTCCTGCATGCTGCCCTGTGAGAGGCGACTGAGCTTCCTTGTGTTTGGAGAGCTGAAATTGAGTTAGGCGCCTGCGCTTAAGGTGGCAACCCCGCCCCCAGCACTCCTGCCTAAGTTTAGAGAAGCTGAACATTTGCCTCCTGGTTTGTGGAAGGAAAGCCTGGGAATCTGACGTGCGGGTTGGAGAAGCTGGGGCCCGCTGTCGGAGTTCCAGCAAAGCTGAACAATCCGAATCTAGGCTCAGAATGCAAATCCTGGGACCCTCGCCGCCAGAGTCGGAAAAGCTGGCGATCCGCCAGCTGCCTGAATTGAGGTACTCAGAGCAGAGCCTGGGTTCAGGAAGGGCGGTCGGAGTCCCGCCACTCCGAGGTCGGAGAAGCTGATGCCCACCCGCCGCCCAGGTTCTAGGAGCCGTCTGCCCATATCTACGCCAAGGGGACGCTGAGAGGTCAGCATCAGAGTTGAGGAAAGGGAAACCGGGAGCTCCGCCGCCCCAGGTTGGAGAAGCCGCCCGCCCGTCCGCCGCACGCGTCCTGGGACTTGCGGGGCCGCCCGCGCCCTCACCTGAGCCGCGCGGGCCTACGGGCACCGCCATGCCGGGGAGGGGAGCGCCGAACGCCGGCGGGCGCGGCGGTGCAACCGGCGTCTAAACACCCGCTGCTGTCACTGCGGCCTCGCTCCCTCGCGGTGTAGCTTCAAACCCTCCCGCGTCAGCTGACTCGAGCCCCAGTCACGTGACCAGCGCGGCCCTGGAGGCAGGTGACGGGATCCGGTCCCTCCCCCTGCGCCACGACGACCCCTGCCCGAGCAGCACGCATGCGTGCCTCAGCTGGCGACTTGCCCTTAGGCGGTCCCAAGGTCCTAGCGCCGACGGGCGCAAATGTGCTGGGGGATGGGCTGGCTGCTGGCTCCGTCCTGGCTCCGTCATGCCCACGTCCAGTGCTAACCTCTTGACTTCCATGTCCAGTGTTTGACCCCTTTCCCTCCGCGGTGTCAGATGATGATCCTATCTCAAGGCTGCCCCGCTCCATCCTCCCAGAAACTCTGCGTTACTCTCAACCCCCCCTCATCCGAACTGTCATGAAATCCTACTTCATTTCCTAATTACATCGCAAATAGGACCACTTTTCCCCACTCCTATGGCTATAAACCCATAGTCCCCCAAGATTCCCTATGGCCTGGACCACTGCAACAACCTCCCTGATCTTGGGCTCCCATTCCGGATCCCCTCCATTCCACTCGCCATCCAGCAGCCAGAAGCATCTTCAAAAAATAATTCTTATCAGTCAGAACCTGTTGGTAGCTTCCCATTTCCCTGGGATGACAAGCAAACTCCCCTCTTCAGTCTACCAGGGCCTTCTGTTCTGGCCCCACCTAACTCCTCCCCTAGCTCAACTCTCAACGGCCCCAGGGCCTTTGCACAATCTTGCCCTAGAGCATAAAGGTTAAGAACTTAGGCTCTGGAGGGCAGACAATTTGGGTTTAAATCTGGGCGCTCCCAACCACCACTTCTGGGTCTTCCAAAAAGTCCCTTGAACTCCATGTGCCTCAGCATCCTCATTTGCAAAATGGGAATATTCATAGTTACCTGCCTCATGGAGTTGCCGAGAGAATTAAATGAGAAAATGCTAGAGCATAGCACAAGCCTGGGCAAACAGTACTGATGATTAAATTAGAGGTTACTGGGATTATAAAGTCCTTCCTTGGGAAGGCTGTCTGCCATCTAAATCAGAAGTCTTGTTATGCTTCTTGTTGAATGTAACATACTCTGTAATTACTTTTTAAATGTTTCTAAACTTGGTCTCTGAGCTGTGTGAGGGCCAAGGCCATACTTATCTTGTTCCCTGCTGAGACCCAAGCAATCAACAGATGTTTGTTGGATGCATAAATGAGTGACCTCCTTTGTCCCGTGGTGTACCTGCAATGTGGGCTTTGAAGGGCAAGGGGTAAGTTAGGAGAGCAGACGGGGCAGGGCCACCCACACGGTTTCATATCAGCCTCCACCATCAGCTTACTAGACGGTCAACAGGCCAGAAATCCCACCATTCCTGGGAAAGCCAACTCCAAAAGGAAGGGAGTTAGATCACCCACAGGATAAGTCTGCCCCTGACTGGGGTGGCCAGGTCTGGGGGAGCAGGGAGTGGCAACTGCTGGGATGGACCAGTGTGAGCCCTTGTGGGGGAAGCTAGGAACCCTGGAGGGTATTGTGGGAGGAGCCAGGACATTGACGTTCTATTTGTATGTTTGGCTCCGGCCATACCCTCCCATCTCCAGAAGAAGAGGCTGTGCGTCAGAGGAAAAACAGCAACAGGAGAACCACAACACAGAGCCAGGAGGCAGTGGGATTTTACTAACTGCACAACACACAACTTTCCCAGGCCCCTGTGGGTGCCAGCATGCCCTTCAGCCATCAGGCCCCAGCAGTGCCCCTTGCTCCTGCACCCACTCGGGGCTCTCGCCGGTAGGGAGGACTGCGCCGACAGTGTCATGGGTGGGAGAGCCGGGGTCAGGGTGGGACTCAGAGCTGGGGTCAGGGCTGGGCACGGGATCCGGGTCGGGGCTGGGACCAGATCTGTGATCGGGGCTGGCCACAAGGTCGGAATTGGCATTGTGCCCAGGCTCAGGGTCAGAAGATTTGACAGAATCAGGGGTGGGGGTAGATCCAGAGCCAGGGATGGGTTTGGGGCTGGGATTGGGGGGGGAGCCCAGCACAGAGCCAGGGTCAGGGTCAAGGCCAGAGCTGGGGCCGGGGCTGAGGCCCAGGCCTGAACCCAGCACAGAGACAGCATCAGGACCCAGAAGGGAGACCTGCCCCGGCCTCAACATCGAAGCGGGGCTGAGGCCCAAACCGGCGGCGGCCGCAGCAGCTGCAGCGGCCGCGCCCTCATGCACTCGCTTGTGCTTGGTGAGGCTGGAGGCTTGGCCGAAGGCCTTGCCGCAGAGCTGGCAGCGGTAGGGGCGCTCGCCCGAATGCACGTGCAGGTGCTGCAGCAGCGCCGAACTCTGCCCAAAGGCCTTGGAGCAGTGGGGGCAGGCATAGGGCCGCTCGCCGGTGTGGATGCGCAGGTGATGCTGCAGGTTGGAACTCTGGCCGAAGGCCTTGCCGCAGTGGGGACAGCGGTAGGGGCGCTCGGCCGTGTGTGTGCGCTGGTGCTGCAGCAGCGCGGAGCTCTGGCCAAAGGCCTTGCCGCACTGCGGGCACGGGTACGGCCGCTCACCCGTGTGCGTGCGCAGGTGCTTCAGCAGCGCCGAGCCCTGCCCGAAGCCCTTGGCGCACACCGGGCACTTGTGCGGCCGTGGGCCGCCGTGCGTGCGCAGGTGCTGCGCCAGCAGCGAACCGTGCCCGAAGGCTTTGCCGCACACAGGGCAGTGGTGCGGCTTCTCGCCGCTGTGGCTGCTGCGGTGCTTGAGCAGCGTGGAGCGCCAGCCAAAGGCCTTGCCGCACGCCGCGCACTGGTAGGGCCGCGCGCCCGTGTGGATGCCGCGGTGCTGGGCCAGCGTGGCGCCGTGGCTGAACGACTTGCCGCAGTCGGGGCAGCGGTAAGGCTTCTCGCCGCTGTGGGTGCGGCGGTGCTGGCTCAGACCCGAGCTGCGGCGGAAGGCTCGCCCGCAATCCGGGCAGGAGAAGGGCCGGGGCGGGCTGGCAGGTGCAGGGAGCACCGCGGGGCCGGCGGCCAGGACCTCGGGGGTGGCAGTGAGGTCGGACGAGAGGGGGTCCAGGTCTGGGGTGGCAGCGGGACTGAGGGTGTCGCTGTTAGGGTCGAGGACCAGGGGGACGGGGCCGATGACGTCTGGGTCGTCAAAACTTGAAGACATGGGGTCGAGATCTTGGGGATCCGAGTCACGGATCCCCGAGATGGAGCTCGGAGCTTCCACATTGGGATCCAGATCCTCGGAGACAGGCTCCAGCTCTTCATAGCTGGGGTCCACATCTTCAGAGACAGTGTTGAGGTCTTCCGGCTCAGGCTCTGGGTTTTCAGAAACTGGGTCCAGCTCTTCACTCTTGGGGTCTAGGTCTTCTGAGTCGGAGTCAAGCTCTTCATAATTGGGCCTCGGGCCTTTGTGGCCTGGGTTCCTGACTAGGACCGAACGCCGCATCCCGGGTGTGGAAGTGCTGGCTGCTTCCGGGGCAGGCTCTACGGGGTGAGGGCAGAAGGTGAGTGGAGGTAGGTTCTGGGGAACCGGGAGGTCTCTTTTGGAGCCTGAGCAGGGAAGGGAGAGGGGGCCAGACCGTGCCCCAGACCCCACTCTGGGGCACACACACGGATCATTCTCTTGTCTTGTACTGCAGGGAGATTTTGCACTCGCCCCCGCCAGGGCAGGGAGAAGAGGGACCCTGGTGGGACATGGGGAGGGGGGGACTCCCTTCTCAGCCCCACACCTGGATAGAAGTCGTGGGACCCAGCACTAGAGGTCTCCAGTACCCAGCTCCATGGCTCTGCCCCTCTCTCCATCCTGGGCTCCTCCTCTGGTGGGCAGCTTGGGTCCTGTGGAGGAGAGAGAGTCTAGATACCTATCCCCTTGACCATGGCCCCTTCATGGGGAAGAGGGGGGGTGTCTGGGTTCTCGTGCTTTCTGCTAAGTACATGGCCTGAATTCCAGTCCCATGGTTGGGGGTGGCATGTTTGGGGGTTCCTAGTAGGGAGGGCGACCCCTGGCTCACCTCCTAGAGAAGAAGCATCCTGACCTCTGAAGCCTCTATCTGGGGGAAAAGTGGGGCGGGGGCAAACAACAACTGGTACTCCTCACTGGGGGAGTGCAGAAAGACCCCTGGCTTGCTTCCTGGGGAAGAGACAACGTGAATTCCAAACCTTACAATTCTGGGGTAGGACTGAGTCCAAACACCTGTATTCTATCTTAGATAGAAGATCCTGAATGCAGATTTCTAAAGCTAGCGTGAGTGCGGGGATATAATATGTGGGACCCCTGGAGGGAGCAGGGAGACCCATGGATCCATCAGCCAGGAGAGTAGGGACAGGTGTCGGTGTACCTGTTTGCCCAAGTAGATAGAAGATCCTGAATTCTAACCCCTAGCTGGGGTGGGCAAAATAATACCTGGGGCTCCTCTTGGGTTACTGGAGGGACCCTGGGCCATCTCCTAGGAAGGGGAGATTCCTGAGTGACTGACCCCACGATCGACGTACGGGAATGCGCGTCAGGAACTCTGGTCCCCTCCTGGAAGGAAGATCCTGAATTCTAGCTCCATGGCTAGAGGTAGGGAGGGGGGCAGAGAAACAAGCTGGGATCCCTTCAGGGGAGCAGGAGGAAATCAGGATTACCTGAAGGGGAGGTGATGCCCACCACGTGGCTAGGCCTCGGGGAGAAAACAACAAATAGATCTATTCCTGGGAGACAGGGGAGGACCTTTGGCTCTCCTTCTGGGGAGGGGGACCTCCCAAGCCACAACCCCAGAGCTGGAGTGGGTACGCAAACAGAGAGGGCTGAGTTCCTAGTTCACCTCCTTAAATTCCACGACGGAGGGTCAGGGGACAGTGCTGAGTCCCCTCCTGGATTCCCAGGGGGCAGGGGGACCCTAAGATTCGCTCCTGAATTCCCATCTCTGAGCTGCACGCTGGGAGGAGAAATAACTGGGATCCTTCTCTGAGTTCCTGGGGGGCAGGTGGAACCCTGGATCACCTCCTGGGGAAGGGGCTTCCAGAACTCTGGACCCCAAGACTGGAGAGTGAGGGGAACAATAACTGGGGTCCTGGGGGAGGGAGGGAACCCCTGGATCCCCCTCTTGAAGATGGGCTTCCTGAACTCCCTACCCCAGGCTGAAGGGTGAGGAGAACAATACCTGGGGCCACTTCTGGGTTCCTGGGGTGGGGGGTCTGGAGCGCCTCCAGGGGAGGCGGGCGTCCTGGACTCCCGTCCCCACCCCAAGTGAGGGGTTCTCCCCCCACCCCCATACCTCCCGACTGACGGCGCCCAGCTCGGGCCGGGCCCTCCCCCGGGGCCGCAGCGGCGGAACCGGCGCGCTAGGCCCGCGGGTCGCGCGGCCCCCTCCCATCGCGCCGGCGTCTCTGCTCTCCCGGGCCGGGGCTGGCGGCGCGCGAGGCGAGGGAAGGGGGTGGACAGAGGTCGCCCAGGGCCGCGCCCCGCGCCGGGGCCCCCTGCCCGCCCGCCCCCCTCACCCCCGCCCCATCGCGGCCGCCGCCCGCCCGACCAGCTCACGGGGACACTCACCCGGCGCCCCTCGCCCCAGCCCGGCCCGCCGCGCCCGCCGGCGCCCCCAGGGCCCGCAGGAAGCCCCCCGCCCGCCAGCCCCGCCGGCGGCCCCCTCGGCCCTGCGGCCCCGCCAAGCGCTCCCAGGGAGCGAGAGGGGCCGGCCGAGGGCCGCAGCGGGAGCTGCTGGGACTTGTAGTTCGCCCGCGTCCGCCTCGGCCGTCGCCATCGCTGCCCCCGCCTCCCCCCGGGCCAGCCTTTGTCCCGGCCCGGCCACCCGGCCGCGCGGCCGCGCCTTTGTCTGCGCCGCGCCCCGCCCGCGCTGTCCCCGCCGCGGCCTCTCCTCTTCTGCGTCTCTCTCAGCCGCTCTCGATCCCTCTCCGCCTCTTCCTCTCTCTCTCTGTTCCTTCTCTGTCGCTCTGTCCCTCTATTTCTATGTCTCTCTCCATTTCAATCTCTTTGCCTCTCTTGCCCTCACTTTTTCTGCCTCTGTCCCTCTGTGTCTCTATCCTCTTCTCTCTCCCTGTCTCTGCCTCCTGCCCAGGTCTCTGACTCTCTCTGGTTTCAAGAAACACCGAACATTCTCTCTCTGTCTTGCAGACTGGCCACGCACATCAGCATAGTCAAGACGCTGAGAATTTACAAACTTGTGTATCTTTGCTCAGTCCAGCATTTCCCTCTAAGACTCCTCCTCCAAGGAAAAGAGTTGGGGATACTGAGTGTTTCCTCCTTCTCCTCCCTGGTCACGCACCGCTGTCACTGGTGGACTCCCCGTGCCTGATGCTCCCTCTGAGGCCTAGACCGGATCTGGGAAGCACTCCGGGCAGACTTTACCTGGAGACACAGATACCCGTGAGGAGGGAGTGAAATACAGCCCCGGCAGCTGGCAGCTGGGCCGTGAGATGTTCTTCCCTGAACATAAACAACGATCCCAGAATATAAACAATGATCACACAAGGCCGCTCTGTGACCGCGCCTGAGCCGAGATAGACACAAGGACACTCTGCAACCACAAAAATGAATACACACCCCCTCCTCTCCCCCCCGCAACTAACTCAGATGACCGCCGCTTCTTCCCAATGATGGCCGCATGTCCATCCTCCCACTTCTGAGATTAGAATCACCAAAATACCCAGTCCCAGTCGCCGATCTGCTCCCTGCTTGCTGACAGCACCAGGCTAGAGCTGCTTCTACTCTCCTCTTCTTAAAATTACCCAGCACAAGCCTGAATCCTAAAAGATGCCCTCCTGTCCCCCAACTCTTCTGGAGATGCCCCATGGTTCCCCGCTAGGGGATCTTCCTTGCTGCACAAGCTAAAAAAATTTTTTTTGACTACAGGCGTGCTTCTGATGGTCTTTGACGAATTTGGACAACACCTACCCTTGCGTGCAAATCAGGCCTCCAGGAGACTTCGCTCTTCCTTCCAGAACCTTCTAGATCTGGGCTGAACTTGTGGCCTGAGACCTGCTTTCCAGCTCTCTGTGGAGAAGCCAGCAGCAGATCTGAGAGACTTGAAACTGCAATTGGATTATGTCGCTTGTTCTTCATCCTACTGGATGATCCCATTACAAATAATACTTGTAATGACAGCTGTCATTTCAATCTGCCCAGTATGTCTCTCAGCACCTCGCTTTCCCTTTGTGGAGCCCCCTCCACTACTCCAGATGGACCCGTGTCTAACCCGTGCCCCCCCAGTACCATGCGATCTAAACTTACCAACCCAAGAACCCCACCCCCCGGCCACAATGAGGTCTGGGACGAAGTCATGAGGTTGGAGAATCTCTTTCTTCCTTTGGGATCATGAGCTGTTTATTGGCTTCCTTCTGCCTGCACCCACCTTCCTCAGTTGTCTGGAAGAACAGTCTGCAGACTGAAGCCAATCTATACCAGGATGTAGAGGTGAGAGACAGAGAGACAGCTCTAGCTATATTGGTTGAGCTCTTGAACATAGCCATACCTGAAGCCGGAAAGCCCACAGTCTTTCCAGCCAACAAGTTTCCTGGGTATTTGAGCTAGTTTAGTGGGTTTCTGTCTCTTGCAGTCATGACAGTCTTGACTAATTTAGACATGATTTCCAGAAAAGGGAAGGGTATTGAAGGAAATAACTTAAAATGTGAAATTGGCTGAACAAAGGTGAAGTAGAGGGCCGGGGCCACCTTGACATGTATATTCATTATAAAGTGAATAGGCCTTCAAGACTTGTGCAGTGCACAACCTCCCCAGATATATGTGGCAGCCCTGTAGAAGGGCCTTGCTCAGGAAACCAGAAATCTGTTATGTCGAAGAAAAATGGCCGATTAAATCGTTGCCCATTTTATCTTCGCACTCTGTGTGTCACCTGGGACTGTGGCTCGAGCGGCTTTGGAGGAAAATATCAGGATGTTGGAACATGTGGGAGCTTTCATGAAGTCTTCGCCAAGGTCTTATGAGATAGACACAAGCTACCTCTATGTGCTCCTTTTTTTATACATTTATTTATATTTATTTATTTGGCTACACTGGGTCTTTACTGCTGCACATGGGCAGTACTCTGTCACGGTGCATGGGCTTCTCATTGCGGTGGCTTCTCTTGTTGCGGAGCACGAGCTCTAGGCGTGTAGGCTTCAGTAGTTGTGGCTTGCGGGCTCTAGAGCACAGGCTCAGTACTTGGGGCACACGGGCTTAGTTGCTCCGCGGCATGTGGGATCTTCCCGGACCAGGGATCGAACCCGTGTCCGCTGCATTGGCAGGCGGATTCTTAACCACTGTGCCACCAGGGAAGTCCCTAGGAGCACCTTCTTAAAGCAGAGTCTAGCACCTGCTCAGTTTTGTGAGATTGCTACGGCTGAATTCTCTGCCCCAATCTAAAAGAGGAAGTTAGTACTGAGATAGGGAGATAAGATTGGGATTATCAGAGATCCGGTGGGCTCTTAATGCCTCAGCCTTTCAAGCATGGAACACTGAACACTGCCTGTCTATTAGGCACAATTAACCTCATTGGGAAGAGCCTATTGGCTGAGTCTTTCTGCCCTCTAGATTGTAACCTGGGGCAAGATAGATGCTGTGGGGCTGGGCAGGCACAGGTCTGTTGCTAGGAGACAGGATCCAGCAAGATTGGGCTGCAGACTCCAAGATCCTGGTGAGGTTTGGAGAACCAAATCACCGAGGCATCCAATCACAGCATTCCATCCCTCTGGGCACCGTGATTGGTTCACAGCTGGACATGTGACTCAAATGGGCCAGTCAGAGGGTTGTTAAATTCTAACGTGAGGAGTTGAGGGGAAGACCCCCACCCCTTCCTTTGGGGCTTTAATCATTAGGATTTGCGTTTTGTTTTGTATTGTTTTTGCTTTTGTTTTTTGCCACTGCTTGGACTGAGAGGCGGCAAGGGAGAGAGCATGCCTGATGAGGAATTAGCAGGCTTGATGTTAGACCTAATTACAGACTTTCTTGTTTCTAAGTCAATAAAATCCCTTTCTGCTTGAGCAGATACAGCTGGGTTTCTGACACTTGCAACAAAAATACCCAAGACATTAACAAAATGTAGGCACTGTTCATTGAGCTGCAGCCAAGTGCGAGGCCCTGTTTTAAGAATGGTATATGCGGGCTTCCCTGTTGGTGTAGTGGTTAAGAATCCGCCTGCCAATGCAGGGGACACGGGTTCGAGCCCTGGTCCAGGAAGATCCCACATGCCGCGGAACAACTAAGCCCATGCGCCACAACTACTGAGCCTGTGCTCTAGAGCCCGCGAGCCACAACTACTGAAGCCCACGCGCCTAGAGCCCGTGCTCCACAAGAGAAGCCACCGCAATGAGAATCCTGCACACTGCAATGAAGAGTAGCCCCCGCTCTTTGCAACTAGAGAAAGCCTGCACGCGGCAACGAAGACCCAACGCAGCCAAAATAAAATAAATAAATAAATATATATATATATATATAAAAGAATGGTACACGCACATTTTATTTACTCCTTGTAACCACCCCATGAAGGAGGAACTGTTGCCATCCCCATTTTACAGATGAGGAAAGTGAGGGTCAGAGCATGAAATCATTTGCCTAGGGACAGAAAAAGACAAGTCTGCTGCTTAGCAATGATTACCATCGACAAAATGTTTTCCTTTAAAATTTAATCTGTTTTCCCATGTTCAATACTATTTTACTCATCTTATTTCATAAGTCTTTTTAGTTTTTGTAGTTCGTATGAAATGCCTTTTCTGGGGGGTAAGTGGGATATAGGAGGGATAGACATAAATCCATAGAATACATCCAGAATCATCATAATGTAGTGTCTTTCTGTACTGAAGACATCTTGAGTAAAGTTTCTGTTTTTTCCTGGCAACCCATCCGGGGGCTGGTCAGTTCCATTGTTAGAAAATGCTTCAAGTTGTGCTGAAATCTGCTTCCTTGTAACTCCTACCCATTATTTCTCATCTGATGTCTCGGTAGTTGAAACCATTCCTAGAACCAGGCAGGAGTACACATAATCCTGCAACTGGAGCTACATGGAATCAAAGCAAGCTTTCTGAGCTTCCTGGCAGGCAAGGCAAAAAGGGAAAGCTTTTTGTACATGTAGTCTGGTCAACAAGCAGACCGGCTTTACCAGGAGAGCCTAATTTTATCCTAGGAATCATTGTAGGATGGGTTTATTGCAGTGGTTCTCAACCAGGGGCGACTTTTCCCCCCAAGGGACATTTGGCAATGTCTGGAGACAATTTTGGCTGTCACAACTGGGCGGGGGAGAAGGAATGTGCTACTGGCATGGAGTGGGTAGAGTTCAGGGACGATGCCAAGCACCCTACAATGCACAAGACAGCCTCCAACCGCAAAGAATGATCCTATCCAGAATGTCAATAGTGCCGAGACTGAGAAAGCTTGTTTTATCATGAGGCAATTCAGACGAGTGTCATCTACATCATTAGTGGAAGCAAGCAGAAGAGGTGTTCTGCCTCTAGCAGACCCTCTCATGGTCGACATGGATACCATGACTGCAGCCGAAAGGTCCATCTTGTCCCCGTGGGACCCCAAACTGGACTCCTCTCCTTCCTGTGGAAGTGACAAGCTGGTCTCACAGGATTGCTGCCCATGGGGAAAGGTCTCCTGGCCAGGCTTGAGGTTGGCTCTTAGTGGCCCATTGGATTGGGGGCCTTGGTCTTTAAAGGTCTGTCTACAGGGTCAGGGAACCGTGTTCATTCCCTGAAACCGGATTCTCAACAGCCTGCAGAGGCAGGGCCCAGGCACGGCCACCAAGGCCCATCTTATCGTCCCAGACAGATCTGGCTTCTTGGTGGTGATTCATCAGACCCCAAGACTTTCAAGGTGGGGTGCTGTCCAAGGTACTAGTCCTTGACATACTTGATGTCCTTGACATACTTACCAGCTTCAAGTCTCCACCCCATACTCCTCCTTTCCACCCTTTTCATTCTGTCTCTGGCTGAACACCTACCCCCTTGGGCCTGATCACATGCTGATGACTTTTGTTGATGTGCCCCTGGACCCAGTTGTGATCTGGGCGCCAGCTGCCCAGCCAGCCAGTGCACCAACCATTCAGCTTCCAGCCTCTGCTCACAATAGGGGACATTGCTGGGCCATTCTCAGCATGTCCACCCTTTCATGCCCCCTCTGAGCCTCACCCAGTCTCTCAATGATTGAGCTCCATCCTACACCCTCCTTACCTTCATCCTTGGAAAGGAAGCTCTCCCTTCTTGATCCCCAGCCACGCACACTAACCAGTGTGTACATTTCTCATTTACAACAATCTAATGAGAGAGAGCTATTGTTTATCTCCATTTTACAGATGAGCAAATAGAGGCTCAGAGGGGTCAAATGACTTGCCCAGGACTACTTTCCAGGACAGGGAGGAGTCAGGATTTGCACTCTGTCCACGCAGCCCCAGGAGCCTACATTCTCAACCTCTCACCACGCTGCCTCCATTCAACACTGTAACTCCATCCTCCCACACCATTCAGAACTTTTGGCAGCGAGAATTCCCTAGCGGTCCAGTGGTTAAGACTCGGCGCTTTCACTGACATGGACCTGGGTTCAATCCCTGGTTGAGGAAGTAAGATCCCCCAAGCCCTGTGGCACAGCCAAAAAAAAAAAAAAAGAATAAAAGAAAGAAAGAAAGAACTTGTGGTATCACCTGAACACCTTACAATCGTCAGACCACCAAGCTTTTGCACAAACTGAGATGGCCTCCCTGCCCAGAGTGGGATGACACCCAGGGTCTGCGGAAATTCAGGGCTTCTCCATGGAGTCATTGTCTCCCGTACGTTCTCTCACCAACCCCACAGGCACCCTATCCTCTTTCATGGCTGACTGATGGAAAGTGGTGGGATGTTGCCAAAGTGGTGTTTATTGTTGGCTGCGGCATGGGTAGGTAGGGGTCTGGGGGGCCCGAGGGTCCACCTTCCCAGCCCCACAGCCCCACTGGCGAGGGGAGCCCAGGGGCACATGACTCTCCTGGAGGTCGTCCCATCTCAGCACTCCTGGGCCCTGGTACTTGAAAGCAAACTCATCCTTGTTTAGGGTTGAGAAGAAGCGCTGTCTACCCAGCGGGGGCTCCGAGTGGCTATACTTGCACTGTGGAGTCAGGGTGGGGAGCCTGGCAGGGCAGCCTGGAGGATGGCTGGCCCACCCTGGCCACCCTGTAGTTCCCGCACCACCTTGGGAACATCAAAGAGTGGGGAACGGCTCAGCGCAGGTTGGCTGATGATTGGGTCCTGGGGAGGTGGGCAAAAGGGAACCCCAGGTTGGGCTGACCCAGGAGCTGGATGAGAAGCTGGAGAGAAAGCAGGTGGGCCCCTGGAATGACCCCAGGGCTGGGTTGACCGTAGGTGACCCTGAGCTAACCCCTGGCTTGGAGTATAACTGTGGCTGGTGATACGAAGCTGACCCTGACATGACCCTGGGGCTGAGCTAGAGATGACCTGGGACTGGGATGACATTAAGATGACCCTGAGCCTGGGGTGACCCTAGAGTGACCCTGAGCAGACTTGACAGGAACTCTGAGTCTGAGTTGATGCTATAATTTTCCTGAGATAACTCTACACTGATTTCGGGGGTTACCTGGTTAGAGAGATACCCCTCCCCCTCCCTCACCCACGGTAGCATCTCCTCAGTCATGGAGGCTGGAGCTATTCTGTGTGGCTTCAACATCTTCTGGTTCACGGTTAAAAAATCTGTTTCTGGAGATTTGGGAGGGGTGGCTGAGCTGAGGGGCTGAGGGGGGAAAGGCAGGGCCCGGGGGAAGGGACATGGGAGACTAAGGGTGGGGTAAGGGTTCAAGGGCGACGCCTGGGCTAGTGCTGAAGTTGTCAGGGGAGGAAGGATGGGGCAGCCAGGATAGGGCTGAGGACGCCAGGGGCGGGGCAAGGGTAGACTAGCGAGGGTCGGGGGCTGGGGGGGAGGGGTGGGCAGGAAGAATAGGCTAGCTGGTCATGGGGCGGAGCCAGAGTGTCCCAGAAGAGGAGGGGTAAGAGTCAGGAGAGGGCGGATATGGAGAGGGGCGGGGCCAGACCAGAGGGGCGGAGTCATGCAGCGGTGGGGCCATGACGGGGTGTGGGGGGGGGCGTTGGGAGTCACGATCACGAAGGAGTGGGGTTGTTCAGGGTCAGAGTTGGTAATCTTGGCTCATGGGGTGGGATCTAGCCCTTCAGGAGGCGGAGCCAGACTCGGGCAGGGGGCGGGGTGGGATTGGCCGGGGGCGGGACCACAGCTGTGCCAAGGGCGGGGCCTCCGAGGTGGGTCCCGCGCTCACCGCCTGTGCCCTGGGGCAGGTTGCTCTGCAGCAAGCGGAGGTTGAGCGCTTTCGGCGGCTTCTGCATCCCAGGGGGTAAATAGTCTGTGCCCATGGAGGTCTGGAAGAACTGTCCGAGCAGCGACGGCTCCCCTAGGGTTATATGACTCTGCAATTTCTCATGAGGCATGTGGCGGCTGGGTGGCTTGGTCGCGGGCAGCGGCTGTAGGACCACATGGCATCTGGGAAGCTCCCGGTGTCAGGGATGTCCCATGGCCAGGACGGAGGGCAGAAGTGGGCGCTGTGAGACCTTGGACGGCTCACACTCTCTCTGGGTCCCACGTCATGGCGCTGGGAGCTGGTACTGTTATTTCAATTTACAGGCAGAGCCACTGAGGTTTGGAGGGTTAAGCGACTCACCCTACTTCGCACAAACAGATCCAGGAGATGCCCGCACGCATGTCAAGCTCCCTCCCACCTCAGGGCCTTTGCACTTGCTATTATTCACTCTGCTTGGGAAGCCCTTTTCCCTGACGAGCCCTGCTGCCTTCTTCCCCTTCCTGCTGACCTGGCCGTGGAAGAAGTGCGTGGAGGTGGTGAGGCTGCCCGGACCAGGGCACCCATTTCCTTCCAGGATGTGCGACTCCGGAGTCAGGTCGTGGTGAAGAACAAAAGGCTCTGCCAGTGGCAGAGCAGGTCCTGAGCAGCTCTGAGAGGCTGCTGTGGGAGTGAGGGGCGGGGCGGGCAGCAGGCTCTCACCTGGCTCCCGGGCACAGAAGTGTTCACCCTTGGTGGTCCTGTCGTGGAAGAGGCCATCTCCAGGTCGAATATTCACACAGTGGATGTGGGCTGAGGCCTGGGCCTTGTCATACCTGCAGATAAGGAGGTGGGAGAAGGAGGACCCATCTGATCTGGGCCCATGCAACTCCCAGGAAAAAGGAGAGAGGGACGGGCTTTCTAATGGCCGAGCTGTGGGGTGCTAATCGTGGGAAGTGTGGCATAATAGTGGGTCTTGCCTGTGGGTGATGGAGAATTCAAAGGCACAGCATTGGCCCTAGAGCCTTAGGTGACACATCCCACATGTCGTTGAGAGCCGTTTGCCCCATCTTGGTAGTAGGCCATGGTCCCTTTGTACCTGTCTGGGGGCAGAACCTGGGGCCTGTAGGCTTGTTTCTGCTCTGCACACATGGGCCCATAGCCAATCTTGAAGTCTCCCAGTTCTATGCTGGAGGAGGCCTGTGGGAGGACAGGGGTGGGAAGGGCAAGACCACCCAGCGCCCACCTCTGCTCCCCCCGCCGCCAGCAGCACCAGCCCAGCCTCAGTTTACCCTCTTACACGTCAAGGCAAGTGGGCCTGGAAGGGCCTGGAACTGTCTCTGGTAGGAGGTGCTGTCATCCTGTCTCCTGTGCTCCCACTCCCAAAATAATAAAAAATAATGAGAACAAGGGTGTTCCTTGGTGGCCTAGTGGTTAGGATTCTGGGCTTTCACTGCTGTGACCCGGGTTCAATCCCTGGTCGGGGAACTGAGATCCCGCAAGCCGCGCGGTGTGGCCAATAATAATAATAATGACAACAAGAATAACTACCAAGTTTTGAGCCCAGTACCTAGGTTAAGTGCTTTGCACCTCATTTGGGGGGCCGATATTATTCCCTCCCCCCATCTGAAGCCTCCTTGAAGCTCGGAGAGGTCAAATAACCTGCCAGAAATAATAGAAATTCAGAACCAGGTGGAGTCAAATCCAACTGACAATCCGTGAACCCAGCTTGGAGGGTCTCTGACTAGTGATGTCTACCAGAAGGTCCTCTGTATCACAGAACTGGAAAATCATATGCATGACAGCGACCCTTTGTTGAGCGCTCAGTATTTGACAGGCATATTCTGCACTCGGGGCCCTTTCGGCTTCACCAATAACTATAAAGTGGGGCCCTGTTGTTGCACCCACTTTGCAGGTGAGTGAACTGAGGCCGGGAGAGATCGACTTGCTCAGAGTCACACAACTACTAAGGTCGCAGGGCTGGGGTGGTGGTGGGGGACACTTAGCAGATTTGTCTGACCCCAAACCAGCTTTCATGACTTCGGGCCACCGCACAGCACCCTGGAGAGATTCGGGAGACATGCCTATTGTGTGGATGCGGAAACTGAGGCTCGAGGAGCTTCCAGTGTGTCTCAGCCTCTGCACTATTGACATGTGGGGCTGGATAATTCTTTACTGTGGAAAGCTCTCCTGTGCGTGGTAGGATGTTTAGCAGCATCCCTGGCCTCCAGCCGCTCCCTGATGGTACCGCCTTCTCCCTCCACCCCCACGCTCAGTCCTGAAGACCAAAATATGATCCCCAGGCATTGCCAAATGTCCGCCGGGCTGGGCACAGTATCCCCGCTCGCCATGAGAACCATTGTGTTGGGTAAATTGCCTAGGGTGCCCGGGCGCGCGCTCACCGAAGAGGCAGGAGGGCTCGCGGAGCTTCGGGCAAATGTCGTGGAGCGAGAAGAACTCCTGGTGCGCGCTGGGCGGGATGGGCAGCTTGGCTCGGTCGCGGGACGGCACCGAGTCGCGGTCGAAGATGAGGCGCGCGCCGCGGATCTGCTCGCTGGCGCGCTCCGGAAGCGCCGGCCTGCCGCGGTGGGCGCGCGCGGGGGAGAGGCCGGTGCGGGCGCGGGAGTCCGCGTGCGCGTGCAGGTTGCTGGCCTGCATGGCGAGCGTGCGCTCCCGTGCCAGTTCCCGCTCCCGCTCCCTTGACAGCAGCGGTGACGCGGAAGCATACGCGCAGTGCGTCTCCGACAGGAGCTCCTGGCCGGCCCAGCGCGCGTCCTGCTGGAAGAGGGACGCGCGGGGCGGCGGCTGGCACAGCGGCCCACGGGTAACGTTCCGGTAGGCGGGAAAGTCCCGGTGCGACGCGGACTGCTTGGCGTCCACGTGCAGCCGCGGGTCGGGCCCCAGCGCAAAGTGCGAGGCCTTGAGCAATTCCAGCCAGGACATTGGGCACGGCAGGAGGGCTCCCGCGGCCATCGCGGGACGCAGCGCCACCTGTGAGGGCGCGGAGAAGGGACTGAGCAGGTGCCCGCGGGGTCAATGCTGCCTTTTACTCCTTTCTCTGTGCCAGGCACTGGATATCATAAGAAACAGGTGTAGGGGATTCCCTGGTGGTCTAGTGGTTAGGACTCCGGGCTTTCACTGTGGGGCTCGGGTTCAATCCCTGGTCAGGAAACTGAGATCTCGCAAGCCGGTTGGCACGGCCAAAAAAAGAAAAGAAAAGAAACAGGTGTAGCCCTTCTGCCTGCCCCCAGGGAAAGTAGAGCTATAAGTCATCACTCATACGGCACTTACAGTGTGCCAGGCATGGTTCTAGGCCCCCAGAGGGGGTCCATCATTAACAGACCAAGAGCCTTGCTTTTGTGGAGATGGTAATGGGGCCCAGAGGAGACAAACAATAATGTATAAATGTAATCACATAACTTGCAGAGTCAGTTACAAGCTGATAAGTGCTGTGGGGAAAAAAGTCACACAGGGTAGAAGGATGGGGTTTCGGGTGGAAGGGTTGTAGTTTTAAATAGTCAGGGAAGGCATCACCGAGATGATAGTTGAGCAAAGACCTGGAAAGAGGGGCAGCGGGGCATTTGGGTATCTGGGGGTAAGAGCATTCTGGTCAGAAGAAACAGCAGGTGCAAAGGCCCTGAGGCTGGTGCAGAAAAACGGGAAGACCTGTAGAATTAACCACTGCATTTGACAGTTTGCTGCCAGAACCCACTCTCCTCACTCTCAGTCAGTTGTTGAGGCCATGGCTCTCTGCTCCTTCATGTCTGGGAACCCACTTCCGTCTCTCTGCCCAACCCTGGCCACTGTCCCATCTCTGCCACACACCCCCTTACTGGTTTTCCTGCCCTCTGCAGTTGTCCCAGGTCCTGACTATTCTTTCTGTCCTCAAGCTGTTTGAGGTTTACACACCTTCTACTCATTTCTCTGGGCTTTTAGCTCCGGGCTCCCAGCACCCCACTTCGCCGACTGCAACTTTCTGGTCTTTGCTCAGAGCTGAGGTGTTTCCCTCACTCTCCTCTCTGCACCTTAGAGACCAGACCCTTGGATGCCACCAGCACCCCTGGCTTAGCCTCTTCTCGTGTGGGAGGCCCTCCTGGATCACTTCAGCCCACAGCTATTTGCTCATGTCAATCTCTTTAGAAAACACATATCAAAGGTTTTAACGTGGCAACCACTTCAGCGTGGAGGATTTGATGTCAGAGGCCGCTGATGTCCATTATCCCCATTTCCCCAGGTTTTCCTCTAACACTCTTCTGCACAGGATAGGCCGAACCGTCTGAGTCACTGTACCGCTTAATGCCACTCCAGGGCTCATATACCTGCAATGTAGCCTTAGAGACATCTGTGCTCTCCACCTCCAGCCCCAAGACCACCAGGAACACACAGGTATTTGAACACATAGGGCTTGTTACCTGTTGCAGCGGGGAGGGCGTACTCTATGGACCTATCAGACTTGGGCTCGTCTTAGGTGCTTCCTGGGAGGTTTCGGTAAGCGGGGCTTTGCTCTGTGTTGGATTCTTTTACCGGTTGGAAATGTGACTTCCTTTTTTTGAGATGTTCCGACAAATAAAAATAATATATAAAAACATCAGGACAGGGAAGGGGGGCGGGGAGATGGGAAGTTGACGCTTAATGGGGACAGAGTTTCAGTTTGGGGAGATGAGAGCGTTCTGGAGATGGATGGTGGGGTTGGCTGCACGACAGTGTGAATGTACTTAATGCCACTAAGCAATTAAAGATGTTTAAAATGGTCCGTTTTATGTATATTGTACCACAATACAAAAAAATTTTTAAAGGAGAAGGCAATTTCTTAAAAAAAACCCAAAAACTAACAAACAGATGAAATAAAAATGTAAGGGTGGTGAACCTGTCCCAGTTCATGGTGCCCTAAATCACCTACTGAATGGGATCTTCCCTTCCTCCCGCCCTCCCTCCCTCCCACCCTCCCTCTCCTCCCTCCCTCCCTCCCTTCCTTCCTCCCTCCCTCCTTTCCTTCCTTCCTCTCTCCCTCTCTCTTTCTTTCTTCTTTCCTTTCCATATAGTTGACATAACACTGTGTGAGTTTAAGGTATACAACATACCGATTTTTGATACATTTCTATTGCAACATGGTTGCTACTGTAGCCTTAGCCAACATCTCTATGGTGTCACATAACTATCACTTCTTTCTAGTGTCTGCAACAATTAACATCTGGTCTCTTGGCGGGTTTAATGTTTATAATACAGTCCTCTGGTCTGTCGTCCCTGTACTTTGAATTTGAGCTCCAGGACTTATGTACTCAGTGGGTTCCTTTTCACTAAATTCAAGCAAAGTGTTGTTTTGTCCACTGGGTCGAGGTCCCATTACCTGCTCCCTAGCCCAGGGCTCTGCTGAGGGCTTTGGCCCAGCCAGGTTGATGCAAATATACATTTTCCCTGCCTGCTGGGAAAAGGAGGACCCAGGAGTTTGTAGATCCTGGATGCTGTCAGGAAGCAAGGGGGAGAGGTAACACCCTTACAGAGAAACAATAATTTGGATCACAAAGTCTAAGGAATGAAGTAAGATTAAAGCAGCGATTGGCAAAGACACAGAAGTCATTTAGATTAGCCAGGAAATGTCTGGTTGCTGTTGTGAGTTGGACAATGTTCATGTTTTGTCTGTGTTCAGACACCATGATGGAGTGGGCTTGTTTTGTCTTGTTCAACCACGGTCACAGAGTGGCCTTGTCCAATGTGGGCGTTCTGTGAAATGCTGTGATCGCCAGGCCAGGCCCTAGCAACCACAAGGCCAGCTGTGGATGCCAGGCCGGTTCCTGTCTCTTTCCCAAAGGTCAAGCTCAGCCCTAACCCGATGGTGGCAGACACTGGGAGGGCGGGGCCCTGCCCACAAGACTCACCGCTGTCTCCTTGGTGCCTAGAACGGAGTCTGGTGCACAGCAGGCATCAGAGAAATGCCTTGTGTTTTTACAAGGTCCATGGGGACAGTACAGGCTCAAGAGAAGGGATCCAGTCACTCATGGAGCCGCTCCACAGCCCAAGGGGCCCCCTTCCCTCTGTGGGGCCTTGGGCTTGGCTTGGACGTTTTCTGCTTTTTGTGTGTGTGTGTATATAGTTTTTGTTTTAATTTTTTTGGCTGTACCATGCGACTTGAGGGATCTTAGTTCCTTGACCAGGGAGCGAACCCGGGCCCCCTGCAGTGGAAGCGTGGAGTCCTAACCACTGGACCACCAGGGAAGTCCCTGGATTTTTTCTGCTGATGGAGCAGTGTCCCCAGTTAGGGGGTTGGGGAGCACACAGACACCTGCACTCTAGTCTTAAGCAAGGACTGTGCTCGAATGTGAGGCTTAAAGAGTCTCTTGGATGTCTTGGGGAAGTCAGGCCCTCGGAAGGAGGCTGGGGCTTGGGGTCCAGGTAAGAGAGAATGGGGGCTGCTTATGGAGGAGGATGTGGGCTGGGAAAAAGTAGATGGATTCCAGGGATATTTTGGTGGCTGCTGGGACATGGGAGGGGCATACTGAGGTAAAGAGGTGAGAGTGATATCCAGGGCTCTGCCTGGGTGATGGGCAGGGGAGCCTCGAGATGGGAGTACAGAAGAGCAAGACGCCGCTGCTGTCAGTCTGATGTCAGTCTGGGAGTAGCTGAGTGTGAGGGGGCTTGTAGGATTTGCAGGGGAACTGTCCAGGGGGCAGGTGGGAGCAGTAGACAGGGCAGGATTGGAGGGAGATGGGGGGAGAGACCAGCAAAGAGGTGGCTAGGGAAATCGTGGGAGTGGATAGGATCTCCCAGGACAGTGCGGATGGAGCAGAAATAGTGAGCTTTTGACAGGGCGCTGAGCCCCACAGGCAACACCGCTTATTGAGAAGCTATTTTGTGCCACGCTGTGGGGATCTAGCTGTGACCAAGACAGATCCAAAGCCCTGCCCTGGTGGAGTTCACATTCTGTTGAGGAGAGACAAATAACTAGACAACCAGACAAATAACTAGATGACTAGGTTAAGCAGCAACATAGACAGTTATGTTAGGTAGTGTTACCAACTAAGAAGAAAAATAAGGCAGCAAGAAATGTGGGCAGGAAGTGCCCAGGAGGGTGTGCAGGGGAGGTCCCGTGAGAGGATGGCATTTGAATAAACATGAGGAGGAGGTGAGGGAAGGAGCCATGTGGGTATCTGGAGGGAGAGCCTTCCAGGCAGAGCGAACAGCCCATGCAGAGGTCCTGAGTCAGGTGCGGGCTGCAACTTCAAGGAACAGGAGGAGGGCAATGTGGCTGGATAGGAGTGAATGAGGCTGGGAGAGTGATAGGAGTCGAAATCAAGAGGAAATTTTTGTTTTTTTAAAGGAGATCAGTCAACATCGTTAGTGATTAGGGACATGCAAAACAAAACCACGGTGAGATACCACTTCCCAGCTAGTAGGAGACGTGCCATGTGTGTCTCCTTACTGGTAAGCCAGCTTATCTTTCCCTGACCTCTATTGATTATTTGAGGCTCAGGAAAAATAGGAGAGCAGACGCAATCTTTCAAAGGAGGAAAGTATGTAGAGGGGTTTCCTCAGCTGACTGAGAAGAGGAAGAAGAAAGCTGATGTACCATGAGAAGAGGATGGAGGTGGGGGGAGTAGGTGGTATATCGTACGTACGTTAGTCCGGACTGAGCCCGTGCTGGCATGGCAATATTTTTGGATATGCTGGGTTAAAATGTATTATTAAAATTAATAGTCCAAGTGTTGGCATGAATGTGGAGAAACTGGAACCCTTCTGCATCGCTGGTGGGAATGTAAAATGGTGCAGCCACTGTGGAAAACAGTCTGGTGGCTTCTCAAAAAGTCAAACATTGTTACCGTATAATCCAGCAATTCTGCTCCTAGGTATATGCCCAAAGGAATTGAAAGCAGGGACTAGAACGAGTACACGTACACCACGTTCATAGCAGCACTATTCACAAGAGTCAAAAGGTAGAGACAACCCAAGTGTCCATCAACCGATGAGCAGATAAACAAAATGTGACGGAGCCAGAGCATGGAATATTATTCAGCTACAAAAGGAATGAAGTACTGAGACATGCACAACGTGGATGAACCTCGAAAACAGGGTCAGTGAAAGAAGCCAGACACAAATGTTCACATATGGT